GATGAGGACAATGTGCCGAAGAAAGTGTTAAGTGTGCGAATTTTTTTTTTTTTTTTTTAAGACTACTCCGGTATTAGGAATAATATATTCGTCGTGTCGTGTCCGTTGTCTGTGTGTCTGAGGACTATACAAACCTACGTACATGAAACGGACACAAAGAACACCCAGACTCAGAACAACAATTTCTGGATCACAAAAGTGTCGTCCTACGTGGCGATCGGACCCACAACATTCGGCGTAGTAGAAAGCGGCGTAGCGACCGCTTAAACCATTACGCCATCCGTGCAGTCGAAGATGAGAGGTACAAGAGAAGAAGAAGACCAAAGAAAAGGTGGATGGACTGTGTGAGTAATGATATAGCTAGGAAGAGAGTAAAACTTGAGATGACGAATGATAGAGTAGAATGGAAGAATGATACTTACTGCGCAGACCCCAAATAAAATTGGGATAAGGGTAGGCAGATGATCATAAAACAGTTATCATCTATTAGAGTTTATCTTTCTTTTTTTATTAAATGAATAGTGAAAAGAGCTCCTTTATTTAACGACTATGAATGGTTTTTACTTAATTTCGATTCCCTTTTCTTGTTGGTGGCAAAGTGATATGATAATAAATATACAAAATGTAAATTAAATATAAAAAATACATATTATATATTATATGTTACAAAACAAAAAGTTAGAGGTTATGTAAAACAAGCATTTTTGTAATAGTTACGCTATCGCATTAGGATATACCTGTAATGATAGTAGTAAGTGTGGATACTAAATAAATAAATAAATAAATAAATATTCAACCAGCACGTTTATTAACAGTCTGGCCAGCGTGGTATAGTAGGCCAAAACCTCCTTTCTAAGGAGAGGCCTATGTCCAGCAGTGGACTCTTAAAGGCTGTTGATGTTGTTGTTGATAATACATATTCATGGACGTCATCAGTCATAAAACCGATTTTAATGCGGCTGAATTATGACCATTTTTTTTTTTTTTTTTAACGTGTGGAAATCCCCTCGGACCGTCACCCCACCGGGGTTTGCGGCGGGGTGGTGTGTCGGACTCGAACCGACTAAAACCACACGGTGTGCCCTCTTTGCGCTTCCAGTTTAGGAGGGGTCCAGGTAGTTATCGCCTTCTGGACCCCTCCCAGCGCCGGCCCGCTCCTGATGCGGGCTCCGTCTCCACTTATCCTCTCTTTAGGCGACGTCCGGCACACGCGGACGCCGCCCCCTCGCGGCTGGCCAACTAATGCGGGTGGAGGGGAAACCCACCCCGTCCACCCGCGGCCACACTCAGGGCGGCATGAGGCGCAAGTAAGCGCGCCTCCGCCGCCCGGTTCGCCGGCGGCCAGAGGCGCGCCCTATTCGGGGCGGTCAGAGCCGCCACCCACACCGGTGCACCATAAAGCGCCATGGACCGGACAACCCCCGCGTACAGCCGCCTCGTGGGAACACTGGCCCCGCCCAAATTGGGCAAAAGTCGCCCTAGGGCGGAGGCAGTGTCCACCAGCTTCGGACCAAGCTGTCGGAAGTGCTCGTCGAAGAGCCACCTACCGTCTAGGACCAGACCCAGGTACCTCATCTGGGCCCGGACCGGTACGAGGACCGAGCCGACCTCGATTGAGGCGCCGGCGGGTGGACCACGACGGGGCCCATGAAATAATAGGGCCTCCGTCTTATCCAGGGCCACCCGTAATCCCAACGCCTCAGTGCGCCCGACCACCTGGGAAACGTAAGGTGTCAGTAAGTAAGAGTAAGGTGTCATCCGCGTAGCAGATTACACCCAGCCCGGGGAGGAGACGCCCTCGTAGGGCCCAGTCGTACCCGATGTTCCACAGGAGAGGTCCTAGGACAGACCCCTGCGGAACACCGCACGACATGGCCCTGCGTCTCAAGACGCCATTTCGGTCCTCGTATATGAAGGTTCGCTCCTCAAGATAATCTGCCACCAGCCGCCTCAGGTACTCTGGCACTCCGTGGTACCGGAGCGCTTCCCTGATGCAGCCGAATGGCAGACTATTGAAGGCGTATCCAAGGACACCGCAAACACCACTCCGCCGCAGCTCACGGCCTCCTCGGTCACGGCCCTAAGGCGCATTACGGCATCGATCGTCGAACGCCCCGCTCGGAAACCGAATTGGGCGTCCGACAGATCGGGGCCAACCTCGCAAAGGTGCCGGACGATGCGGGCAGAGAGCACCCTCTCAAAAAGTTTACCCGCCTCGTCCAGCAACACGATAGGCCTATAGGCCGCGACCGATTCGGCAGGCCGTCCCGGCTTCTGCAGCAGGACCAGCTTCCCGCATTTCTAGCGCTCAGGGAAGCGTCCGGACGCCAGGCTAGCGTCCAACACCCCCCTGAGGTGGTCCGACATGTAGTCGAGGGCTCGGGCCATCACTCGGGCTGGAACCCCGTCCGGCCCGGGGGCAGTGTTCTTGGATCTAATCCGTAGAACAGCCGCCCCCAACTCCGATTCCCTGACGGGCGGAACATCAGCCTCGCTGCCCCCGTCGTCTCCGGCTGATGCAGCCATCGACGGGGGTGTGTGCTCCGCCCGCTGCGGGAATAGGCCCTAGACCACTTCCTGCAGGAAGCTGGGCTGGAGAGTCTCCGTAAGGGGGGGGGGGGGGGGGCGACGTGCGGAGCTTTTGACGCACCGCACGATAAGGGCGACCCCAGGGGTGGCTGAATTATGACCAAGGTTAACCTTCGTCTTTTGGTTAATCAAACTTATAAATTACTTTTTTTTTTAAATCTAAACGCGATCACCAGACCTTGATTACAAATTCGAATAAACACAAATTATTGCGTGATGTTTCAAATTGTTTAAAATTCAAATACAATACACGAAGAGTTCAGCCTACTAAAGAGTGGAGTATCGTAAATTCCGTTCATCGTTAACTCTCTAAAGTGTTAAATATCGCAAATGAGTAGTTTACGTTGCGGGTATCAACCTTTTGATTCAACATGATGTGATGCAGATGAGAAACCAAATTTGTTATCCACTCACGGGCCGTGGTCACAGGTAACGTGTAATTTGGTCGAAACTCCAAGCAAATTAATGGTCAGGAATACCTACAAGTATAACGTGATCGCGTTAATTTGAGTAATAATATGTACTAGGGACTACTTCCTACTAACCTAAATTTATATTTTTATTTGATGTTGAATTTGTTTTTATATTTCTGACTTTCACTTCTAATTAACTTAATTTCAGGATCGATATGACGTTTTTAGGAAGTCTTTGCTGTTGTTCCTGAGGTACAGAAGCCATAGTTGTCGTCGAGGGAAGTTTAATCTTATAATAAAGATGAAAAAAAATACAATGTAGTTCTGACTACCAGTTACATATGAGTATATTATGATCTGATGTTTAGTACCAATATTTAGAGTTCACAAAACGAATCAACACGGTCCTATTTGCAGTACTGATCAATACAGGCCGTAAACCTATTGCGTTCCTCATTGTTTGTCAATCTCTTTTGTTGGAGTATTGCTTTGTTTAGGATCTGGACAAATATAGCTGTAAATTGTTTTGATTTATAATTCAAAACATACCAAGTATTAGACCTTTATTGCCTTCTATCGTGACTCGAATATTTCTGATTCGTAGTTGATTTCATTTTCATTTCAATGTGACCTAAAAGCTGATGAATATTGGGCATGTATTTTTGTTTGTCAATTCTTCTAAAAATAATATGAAGCTTATCAATTTTAAATTCTCATTGGTTGACATAGAAATTTTCGTATTTAGACAAGTTCTACTATTTAATAATCCATCTTAGGTATAAAAAGTTAGAGTTATCAAATAGCTATTCAAAATATACGTGAGTAATAACAATTTCTTTATTCGAAGTAATCTTTTAGAATCTTAATTTTGTTTTGTTTCTGTATATGAGAGATCATCTATTTCAGTTCTGAAATAATTATAGCAGTTTTGAGATTAAATATGAGTTATTCAATCTTATGCCTTGCAGCCATCAAGTTATTTTTAGCCTGACTTGTCTCTCTTTCCGATGATAAGATGATGACACGAGATGAGATGAGTTGATTTATCTATTTGTATACTTTAGTAAAATGTGTGTTGTGTTGGGTAGTAATTGAAAATTATAATTTAGCAAACGGTTACTGTGTGTGTGTGCGTGTGTGTGTGTGTGTGTGCGCGCGCGCGCGCTCGTGTGTGTGTGTGTAAATTTCTGCATTATCCGTAGGTTAAGACGAATTTTAATGACGTTTTAGTATTCTCTCAATCTTTAAATAATTAACTGAATTATAATTCAGTTAATTATTTCAATAAACTGTATGTTAAACTTTTACCTCTAAAAGATCCCTAAGATTACTTGTAAAAGTTAAGAAGGTATTTATCGTTAGGTTTGTGTTTGGTTACTGTCAAACATGATGATGACAAACGATGATGCATTATTTTGTTATGGAAAAACTTAGATTGAAACAGAAATTTCCATTGAAAGTAATGTATTCTGTGTCTTTGAAGAATTGTTACCTAAACTAACTGGTATGAAAATAAGTTTAGGTTACCATTTGACAGTCCTGTTGGTCTAGCGGTTAGTGACCCTAACTGCTCGTGGGTTCGATTCCCACCCAGGACATTTATTGTGTGATGAGAACGGGTCTGCCTAATTTGGGAGCAGACTGCCGTGTGTAAGATGTGTGAAGTTATTATTATGTTATTATTATTATTATTTATGTTTGTATGTTTGCTTGATTTTTTTTTAAGGTATATTCCCGGATCCCTCCTATTACAGGCGCAGAGTGGCACACCGTGTAGTTTTAATCGGTCCGATTCCGACATACCACCCCGCCGCAAGCCCCGGTGGGGGGTGACGGCCCGAGGGGTTTCCACACTTAAAAAAACTTAAAAAACCCTCCGGTCGAGCCGGCCCATTTTTGCCGAAGCGTGGCTCTCCCATGGTGACACTGCTTTCGGTATAATGTTAAGCGTCAAAGGGTAGAGCTGTAAAAATAAAAAGCAATGCATAGTTGACTTACCTTATGGCAAAGTACATCGATATCCAACTCATTAGCTACATCTTTGATAAGGTCCATAAACAGATCGGCTTCATCTAGCTGCTTCTGCGCTGATCCGCTCGGAGAACGGGACCTCTGGAACAAAGCACAGGGAGCCTTTAATTGTAAACTTGGAATCCTAAGTGATAAGTGTAGAAATTTTAAAGTTATTTATCACAGAGACTGTTAGAATCCTAAAAAACACATAATGGAAGGAACAGTAGGTTTATCTGTTATTGAATTCTGTTACGCACTTCTTAGAAAAAAAAATTCTTTAACTGATTTGATTCGATACTCTGATTGGTACATTTCGATTCATCAGATGAACACTTAGGTATCCTATCTATAAATATTAATGTGATGAAGTTTCCCTCGTAGCGTATTTTTCTGAACTTCATTTCACTCACTAAACAGCATCAACATTTGAACAATTTGATTATTCATGTATTTATAGTATGCAATATTACTAAATATACATTTTGAACTAAGAGGAGGGTGAGGAATCCTCAAAAACGAACAGTTAACACGGAGGACAGAACACACACAAAGGCTAAATCTCGTCTAAGGGTTAGAGGATTAAGACTGCTTCATGTAAGGACTCTCAACAATGAATAGCTCCATCTCACAATGAACACTAGTACCTGCCCGCTTTTGTTTAGCTTCGACGAGTTCGTCGAGTATTTCCTGCATTAAGATCAGGTTAGTCTTCTCTTTATCTCTTCTTACTTCAAGGTTATACAGATAACGAACTACTTTATAAGCGGTAATATATTCTTGTATATACGGTTATACGAGTAATTTATCAAACGCTAATAATTTGTTTTAGTTGCCTGATTTTCCTTTCAAACAAAGAGTGCAGTGTGATATAGTTTTGAAAACGTTACCAAAGTGCAATGAGAAGCGGTCTGAATTAAGCACCATGATAAATAACCTCAGTGAGGTAACACAGGTGTAGGCACACGTAAAAGAAAATAATAGTTGAATGTTTTTCTATACTCGTATAACTTAACGCAAGACGCTAGTAAATACATAATTATTAATATACATACGAGTACTATTGCGCGCAGGCGTTTAACCTTACGGAGATTTCTTTGTACACATTTTTAAGAAAAAAATCATGAACTCAGGAGCATGAAATTTGTACAAGGGATTTAATCCTTTCTAGGGTAGGTACACTTGGTTCCCCGGTTTTTGGTCGATTTGAGTCTGACATAGGCATCCCAACGGTGGGTGGTATCCGAGGGGATTTCCGTTCAGAAGAAAAAGAAAAAAGGAGCATAAAATTTTGAATACTTCAAGTGTGTGTATAAAGAAAGCGCTAAAAGCTTAAAACTAGTAAATAATGCGGTACAGATTAGAAACTTACGTAAGAACGGCTTTATTCAGCTATATTTGTCCAACATTCGTACGCGAGACGATTTCACTAACAATGAATAATTTGTCATTCTTATCGACATAGATATTTTGGGAATCGTACTGGTGTAGGTAGATACGTGATCTATATTAGTTAAAGACTCGAAAAGATCCTCCATTAAGTTGAAGCTGGTGTCCAAGCGCTACCTAAGCATACAAGTATTTTACTACCTATTAAATAGAAACAGACATCTGTGTAGACTAAATCAAAGATACATACGTTTTTTAGCTCAGAAATGTACGTTCAGTAAACACTTCAACCGTGTAAATATCAATCCCTACACATCAAAGGGTTACTTTACGATAGCTTCAGCCGTTTTCAATAGCGAAAGAGGCTGACTCTTGAGCCAACTCAAGTCTGACATTGCTTACGGTCGAAAGGTTCCACTGGATTAGATTGCCGTTTACGTAAAGAAAGATTTTTAAATTACGGTTCCATTCCTCAAGGGGAAAGAAAAACCCTGTAGAGGATAAAGCTGTATCTTGGGCACGCTTGAAGCTCACTGTCTTCGCGCTACATGGTGTTAAATTAGTGTGATATCATTATAATTGTAATTTGTCATTAGGATGTCAATTTGGCAGTAGAATGTCAATTTGTCAGTAGGGGGATTATTTGTCAGTAGTGTGTAAGTCCAGACCGTATTCGGCCACGGCGACTTGGCACTGTCTAATGAGAGCTTCGTTGATGTGCTCCCAGGCGGCTGACATAACCGATTTTTGCCGTGAACGTGCATCCACATACACTGCAAGTCAGCGTTCCTCCGATATAATTATAATGTATGGCCGCCGGTGGTCGGGCCTTCAGCTCATCCCGTTTTGCGTCGAGCTCTTCTTTCCGTAGTCTTTCGAACTCGGGCACCTTAGCGCACACAGTACGCCTCCACAGTGGCCTATCCGCCGCCACTGCCTCCCACTGCGATGGGTCAAGGTGGCAACGCTTTATGTTTGTGTAATTACTCTTTTAAATTTTCTGTTTCAGTTTAATATATATGTTGAATAAATATGTCGGTGGGAAGGGGTTTAGTTTTATAGACAACTAGCTGACCCGGCAAACGTTGTTTTGTCATATACATTATTTCTAAGAAATATTTTTTTAGGTCAATAAGCAATTGAAAATTTGAAGTTGTGTGTATTTTCAATTCTGAATCATAATTTAAAAAAAATTATAATTTTTGTCAAAAAATATTATCTAGTAAATATTTAGGGGTGGGCCTGAGAATCGGCGAACGTCTATTTTTCATTTAGGGGTATGAAAAATAAATGTTGGCCGATTCTCAGACCTACCCGCCGTCCAGCCGTTTCGGAGGAGTTCAACCACGCACACCGTTACACGAGAATTTTATATATCAGATTTTATGGTGTACCTTTTCTTTTAACACAGCATCCTATTAAAAATGAAAAATAATGAGATATTTTGATATTGTACTCTGGCAAATATACCATGATGTCATAGACACAGTCATATAATTGGAAGACTTACGTATTTATTCTAAGCGTCAGTTGTATTTTATGCAAAGGTATCGTACCTTAAAATCCACTGAACATACGTAACGTAAATATATGCATATTTTACTTCAGTAGCGTTTTGTTGTCAATGTTCTGAACCCCAAGCCTCTTTGAAGCGACTGTTTTCATCTAACATATTCAAGATGGCGGGCAAATAGTATGAAAAGAAATGAAAATTTGCTACTTCTTGTATTATGAATGTAGTAAGTGTGTTTATTGCAGGCTTCTTAAGAAATAAGTTCTTTTTATTCCTTTTTAAGTATACAAAGCTTTGTTTGTTTTAGAAAAAAAAAATAGTTGAATGTTTGTTGAATGTGGTTTAAGCGGTCGCCACGCCGCTTCCTACTACGCTGAGTGTTGTGTGTTCAACATGGGACGACACTTTGTGTGATCCACAAATTGTTGTTCTGAGTCTGGTTGTTCTTTGTGTCCGTTTCATGTACATTTGTGGGGTCCCCCGCGAGAGGATATATTCCTATCGAGAGAGTTATCTTTGAAAAAAAAAATAGACTACAATGGACGAAGTGAATTATTTTTATTGTCAATTAGTATTAGCCTAGATTTTCCCTTCGCGGCACCGTGCGACTAACGTGTGACTTCATGTGCTAACAATTTAAATATTGTTTTCTGTTTTTTCTGCGACTAGTTTCCGGCTTGCGGGCGGCTAAAGGTTGTGTATAGTGTTTTAAAGGAAGTCAGTAAGTTTTTATCGTTTTTAAACAGTAATATAGTGCTGAATTATTTTATTACGACTATTGGTGAGTAAATTTATTTTCTTTCTAAAAGTGGGTAGGAGGTATCCTTTGTTTATATTGATTTTTCTCTGCGTGTTATTTATTTTTAAGCCTGTTCCTTTTGAAATTGTTGTTTGGTGTGTCTTTGTTTGGCTATGTCGGTCGTTAGCGAGTTGCCGGACCCCGGCGGTACAAGTGAATTTCTAACACCAACCGGGAAAAGGACATTTATCGAAATGTCACCTACTGGTTTCTCGCCGAAAGACAGTAGCCGTAGGCGCGTTATTAATTCGGACTTAAGTAGTAATGTTTCGTCTCCTACTGGTCGTGATAACTGTGGGGAGTACAACTACTGTGACTTAGTATCACAGGCCACTGATTATTTAGCAAAAATTAATGAATTAGTTAATGATCAGGGATCTCGGATGAATGTAGGTAATAAAACGGCGATTATGGATATTACTCAACGAATTACCGGTATCGTATCTTTGTTAGCAATAAAATCCTCTAGCAACGAAACGAAGTTAGCGAATTTTGAGCGACAAATGGAGGGTATCGCAACCCAACAAACGAGTTTAACGTACGCGGACAAACTTAAGCTTCGCTTACCACCTAAATCTGCTCCGTGCCCGGTACCTACTGAAGCGCGCGTTCCTAGGCCTTGTGTCATTGCCTATCCCACTACGGAACGCCTAGCGGACTATGCGACCTCGTCAGCAACAAAACAAGCTCTCAAGAAGGCTATTAAACCGAGCGATGAGGGATTTCAAATTGTAGGCGTTAAAAAAACCTCTAAGGCAGGCGTCGTGTTACGTGTAGCTAACGAACGGCAGCTTAAGAAACTGGAATCTGTGGACGCCATTAAATCAGTAGGGTTGCGCTTAGAAAAACCGAAAGGCCGTAGGCCCCGTATAATTGTAAAAGACGTACCCGGTTCTATGGAAGATCGTGCCTTCCTAACAGCCTTATACCGTCAGAATATCAAGGACGAATTAAAATTAAGTGAGAACGATTTTATTAAGTCAGCCAAAATTGTTAGGCATCGTAAACTAGAAAATGGGCGTCAATGGATAGGCTTAGAATTAGAGGCAGCAGTTCGGAAACATCTAGCCAACACAAAAGATAAACTTTATATAGACTGGGCCACATGTAGATTCATAGACGATATAGAAGTAGTTCGTTGCTTAAATTGTCAGCAATTCGGTCATGTACAAAAGTTTTGCACCATTAAAACCCCTACTTGTGCTAATTGCGCCGCCGCACACGAAACGCGAGCTTGTCCAGATAAAGACACACCAGATTTTAAGCCCACGTGCGCACAGTGTAAGCGGTTCAAAAAACCATCTGACCATCGATGCGGCTCATACGACTGTGCCACATACAAATTAAAACTGGAGCAGCTAATATTAAATACCAATTACTGAATAGTTTAACTTAGTTAAAAAAAAAAAAAAAAAAAAAAAAAAAAAAAAAAAAAAAAAAAGTTTAAAGAGTAACTTACTAAGTAATGAATAATATTTCGATAGGCCAGTTAAATCTTCATAACGATAAAATAGCTACATCAGAATTAGACCGTTTAATTTTAGAACAAAAGTTAGACATTGTCCTTTTACAAGAACAATATCAGAGCGCTCACTTGCGTCGTAATGTAGTACAGCTTGACTGCCGTTCGCAGGCTGGGATATATGTTGCAAGTTCTAATTTTACGGTTACATCTTTGCGTAATCTTATGACGTCACACTGCGCCGTTGCTGAGATCTCATCCTCTACCTGTAAGGTTTACGTAGTGAGCTGCTATTTTCAATATTCACATCCTATTGATCCTCACTTACATCACTTACGTTACGTCTTGCAGTTCCTCGTGGGACATAAAATTATCATTGGCGCTGATGTCAATGCGTCATCTTCATTATGGTATGGCAAGTTGCGTTCAACCGACACGGTTCGACGTTGTGCGGTTGAAGATTTCATTGCGGAAATGAATCTTATTATTCACAATACCCCCGATGCACCACCAACTTTTTGCAACCCAATGGGTGAGTCTTCTATTGACGTGACGCTTACGCGCGGCGACGTCTCGATATCCGGATGGCGTGTCCTTCCGGACGCATCCTGTAGTGATCACCGCTTGATCGTGTACGAATTCATACCAAGGGTTGCACAGGATCCACAAAAGGCTCCCTATAATTTTAGATATAAAACTAAAGGTGCGAACTGGGCTTTGTTTGGTTCACTCTTTGCAACTCATACCAAAGACTTCAGTCGCAGTAGTTTATCAGCTGAGGAAAGCGCAGAAATACTATCAGAAACTTTTACATACTGCGCTGATGTAACTATTGGTCGCGGATCTATCACTAACACTCGTAGATGTGATTGGTGGAATGATAGATTAGCCGAACTACGTAGAAGCTACCGGAAAGCTCGTAGAAAATTAAACACTATTAAAAAACATAACGTAACAGGAGATTTGTACAACAATGCTCTCATTGCTCTTAGAGTTGCCAGGTCCCACTACAGAGCTGCTGTGGAAAAATCCAAGGGAAACTTAATTCAGAAACTTGTTGATAAACTCGATAGAGAGGGCCCGTGGTCACCTTTGTATCACGAATTTAAAGCAAATAGATCAATCGACCTTGCATACATACAGAACATCAAAATTAATAACAGATATACCACAGGAGTAGAACAAACAGCAGAATATCTTTTAGACTCACTCGTACCTGACGATCGACCGGAGAACGACACTGATCATCACCGACAGATCAGGCAGTGGGCCATCGAACCACCACAATCTCCAATGTCTGATTTACCATCTTCAGACGAATTTCTCGGTATCATTAGATCCTTGCCGCTAAACAAGGCTTCGGGCGATGATAAAATATCTAACAAAATGATAAAAGAAGCTTGTAAACTTTCGGGTGACACGATTTTCACTGTCTTTAAACGTTGCATTGCTGAAGGAATATTTCCTCGTATATGGCGGTGCGGTAATATTCGTATAATACCAAAAAGTGGCGACAAGCCACCGGATGATCCTAAATCCTACCGACCAATCACATTGTTACCATCGTTAGGAAAGCTTTTAGAACGTCTTGTAGTGCCCCGGCTTCTGCCAGGTGGAGTCA